CACACACACACACACACACACACGTGCTGCAGCGTTCCCCCTCTGGCCTGATGTGAATCTCCATCGTTAACATCTGTATGCAGACCGACAGCCTGTGAGCGGCGGCTGGTAAAGGTCAGAAGGTCAGAAGGTCATCCGATGCTTCAGCAGGAATGAACCACACCTGAACAGGTAACAAAAGATGAATTTCTCAGTCGCTCTTCCTGCTGCAGCTCATTAAAACAGAATGAATAAATACTTTTAGGAAAAGTTACACAAAGTTTTCTTCTAATTATCAGAATTATTTTCTTTTCCTATTGATTAAAAAATATCTTGATATTGAATCCAAAACTTTTCTTGAATATTTCTGCTGCATTAAACCGAGAGGCATCTTTAGCTACAACATTAAATAAAAATAAAACGATTTGATTAAACAAACATCTCCTAAAACATCTGCAGCAATAATGGTGAATATTAATTTAATAAAATCGCTTTAGGGTAAAAACTGGCTCCATAAAATACATATAAACATATCAGACTCATAAAATGCTTCATGTCTTGTTTTATATTTGAATAAATCCTTCCTGCTGGAGCTTCTGTCTCTAAAATGTTGCAGGTTTTGAATCTCGGAACCTGAAGCTTTAAAATCATTTCAGAAAATGAAATTATGGCATCATTAATTATGCAACTCATCATTCGATTCTTATACTCATGCATTTTTAAGCTATTTGGTTTTTTTTTCTTTTTATATGTAATTGTATTTATTCTCTTTTTTATGGAAGAAGTTTGTTGATGTAACTTATTTTTTATATTGACAGAAATCTGAAGATCTGCAGATAAAAACTGATTGAAACAAATAAAACAATTTGATACTGAACTGAACTGAACTGGTGTTGGGTGGGGTATGTATAATTGTGACCTGATGATTTCCATCATCTACTGAATCCAGTTGAATTATTACTGAGTTAAAGTAAACTTGTGTTTGAATATCAAACCTTTATTGTTTCACTGAAGCAAACAAAACGATGTGAGTTCAAACAGGTTGATTGATTCCATCAGCAGGTTTGAGAGGAAGAGGAAGACATTCAGAGACAAAATGAATCAAAGTTTACATCAAGTTTTCTGCTTCACTGAAGCTACATACTGAACAGCTGAAACAACGTCTGCTGAGCCGTTTCTATGGTTACACAGGAAAAATGATCCAAAAACACAGCCGGTCAATATTTAGTTTGAAACACGTTAGTGAAAAATGACTAAATCTTTAGTTTGGATCTGTGACGTTAATGTTGGAGCAACATGGAGGAAAAAAGACGGCAGAAGCAAAGCCAATTATTTCTGTTCATTTTTACAGTGCAACTGAACAAACAGCGCCCCCCAAAGTCCATATTTAGTTGTTAATATGATAACGACTCGGTGCTTCAGTCCAAAGGTTCTACAGCCGGCTGTGGACCGGGTCGGCCTGCGGCTGCAGCCGGGTTCTGGAGGCCAGCGCCGCCTTGCGGGTCATGGTGCTGCAGCGCACCAGGATCTCCTGGGTGTCGGGTCTGCGGGGGACGCTGGGGGCCGGGGCCGGCTCGCTGCCGTTGGTCCCGGCCGACCTGGAGCTCCCGGTGCTGGACCTGGAGGAGCGGGTCGGGTCGGGGCGGCGTGACTCGTCCTTCAGGCTGGAGGAGGACGAGGCGCTGCTGGAGGAGAAGCTGGAGAAGATGGAGTCGCTGCTGCGGGATGCGGCTGATGAAGATGAAGATGAAGGCGCGGCGCCGTCCTGCAGCCAGCTCTCTGAGAGCACATCCAGGGACTGCGCTCTGGGGAGCCGCTCCGGGACCGCGGACCCCCGCCTGGAGCCCGACTCCTGGTTCTGGACCGGCTGGGAGGAGCGGGAGCCCCGGGCGCCGCTGGAGGCCAGGTTGAGGGAGGAGCTGTGCAGGTGGCGGCCGTGCAGCCCGCGCCGCGGGTTGCTGTAGGGCTGCAGGTACATGGAGGGCAGGTAGCCCACCCTACCGCCGCACCTGGAGGGGGCGGAGTCAGAGTTAGGTCTGATAAACAGCAGCAGGACCGATCGATCAATCATACAGTCCTCCTCTAATTTAGTAATTATTCCTCTAAAATGCATTTCAAATGAAAAGTGTCTCAGTCTGTTCATCTGTTCACCAGAACGTCACCGGTTCGGTTCTGGTCTAAAATCTCCTATTAATATCAAGTTATTAATCTAGAAAATAATCTGCGGACCAGATTCTCATGTTTGACCAAACCGCCACTAGAGGGCGTTAGGAAATAAAATGTTGATTTTATTACTTCAACATTAATGTAATAATTTGTGTTTTTCTGAATGAATCCCGGTTGTCTGTACCTGACAAGCCACCAGCCGTCGTCAGACTTGCGCAGCACCTCGACCACGCAGCCGATGGCCACGCCCACCTCATCGGTCTTGGAGGTGGAGTAGTTCCTCACGGCGCAGTACAGGGACCCTGAAGGCAACACGCAGACCGCCCGTCAACATCTGCAGGAGGTTCTGGACGGAGTCCGGTCCAGGTGACGAAGAGCGACTCACCTCCCAGGAATCCTCCCTCCTCTTCCTCTTCTTCGTCACAGAGCTCCAGGTAAGGCGCCGGAAACCAGGCCAACCGCTTGTCCTCGCTCTCCACCAGCCACCACCCTGCAGGCAACGGGCAATTAGCAGTTAGCATGCTGCTGCCATGGCCTGAACTCATGGCCACCCTTTGTACTCAGTAGAAAAGTTACAGTAATAATTTGGTTTATTGAGCTATATATTTATTTTACAAACTAAATATTTAATTTGAAAACTAAACATTTAGTTGCGAAATAACATTTAGCTTCATAGCTTAACATTTAATTTGGAGCAAAATGTTTAGTTTGAAAACTCCACATTAAATATTTAGTTTGGATCAACTGTTCATTTTTTACAGCTTCATCAGTGGAGAGTTGCAGCTGCAGCCTGACCTGCCGGGTCTTTGATTAGGACGTCCAGCTTGTCGTCGGCGGCCGCCTTAAAGGTCCGGTTCTTGGTGTCCCTGGTCTCGTACGGCGCCACGCAGCGGTACGTCTGCGTGAGGAACGGGTGCGTCACGCTGCCCACCTGCTGGCTCCGCGCGCCACCCGCTGCGTCCTGCGCCTCGTCAGACATCAGGATCATGACGCTGCAGCAGACCACGTGTTAGAAACGGATCAAAGCGGCCAGCCGGAACCCGACCGGAACCAGAACTCACGTGTTCTTGGTGAAGTCCGTCTGCAGGTCGTGATCTCTGGGCGTGAAGAACCGGGTGACCTCTGAACTCAAGGTCACGGTCTGATCGCAGCGCAGCAGCTCCTCGCAGTAACTCTGCAGGAAGCTCATCTGCCTCACCGACTTCCTGGATCCGGTCTGCTGCAGGCTGCTGCGCCGGGCCTTCCCTGGACCAGAACCAGAACAAATTAATAAAATCAACTAAAGTTTCTCTAAAGATGAAAAATGTTCAACATTTCAATCAACTGAGGCTCGTTTTGTCAGCGACTGTAAATAATATAAAGTAAATATTAAAGATTATTTTTTGCATCAAGAATGTTTTCATTGTAATAAAACCTTTAAAGCTTCATTCTGTGGAATTAATGAGTTAGTGAAATAAATAAACTTTTCATTAATGTTTGAAATGATCCCATCTGCAGATGCTTTCAATCAACATTTAGTTTCTATTTTTAATGATTTTATACTAATTCCTTATAAAACAGATCCAGATCTGTAAAAATGGTGAACTGCTCCTTTTTCTCCACTTACTGACTGTTATTGTCATAAATCATAACATCATAAAACACACTGATGACTGTATTTTCTTCTCCAGGCTGGATTTATTTGCTCACCGGAGAACTTTGGGATTTTCCTGTCGTTCTTCCTGAAGGGATTAAAGTTTGGAAATCTCTTCTTCAGCTGCCCCTGTTGGAGAAATGTAGTCATTAAATGGGTTTTATTTGACTGTTTTTCTTTCATTGCACTTGGAGTTCTGATTGATTTATTATTATAAATTAAAATGATTTCATGGTTTGCAGCTCGGATTTTTCCTGACTTACATGAAATGACCGGAAGTCCTGGAAGGACCTGTAGATGATCACTTCCGACTCATCGGACCAGAGGACGGACAGCATGAAGGTCTGAGGAGGAGAGCTGATTATTTTTCTGACATGAGATTAATAAATAAAAACTTTGTGAGGTTTTAACCAACCTTCAGTCTCGGCTTCTCTCTGCGGACTCCTCCAATCAATCTGATGCTGATGACGTAGCGCTGATCTCCGGTCATCTTGCCGCGGTTCTGGTTCTGGTTCTGGTTCTCAGGTCAGCGGCTGCCGCTGAGGATGAGGCGGATGAAGGTGAGGATGTGAAGCTCCAACAGCCGCATCGCCTCTACTTATGTGAAATAAGAGGGAGGAGCCAGGATGCCGGGGGCGGGGCGTCAGCAGCAGCACCGCGGGATGACGTCACACAGGTGAGGCACCAAACTGCCACAGAGACCATAAAGCATCTTCAACCGGGAAACAGCCGCTGCATGAGATGGAATATGCAGAAGAACAAGGAACCAAAAATGTTTCAAACCATCATTCATATTAAAACCAACATGGCGGCTGTGATGGAAATGTAAACATCAAATATGTCATACAAAAGAAAAGATGTTTAAAATGAGGTAAAAGTAAAATCTGAAAAAGATCTTAAAAATAAAATGATGTTAAGAAGAAGAAGCATATTTAAACAAATGAGATCAAACATAAATAAACTTGTTTAGTTTAATGTTTCAATAAATGATGAAAACATGAATTCACCACATTCAGCGGCTGAGTGTCTGCCTGACGTCATCAGGACTTCGCTGCAGTCATCCGGCGCCAAGAAAACCGCTCACCTGTGTGTGTGTGTGTGTGTGTTAGCAGGTGTTTCTTCAAAGGGTTTATCGCTGCTCTCATCAGGTGGATGTGAAGCCCCTGCTGTGAAGGGATGCCAGCATTTATCTCACACACACACACACACAAACACACACACACACACACACACACACACACACACACACACACAGGCAGCACGTGCTTCGGCGTTGAATGTTGAGTTTGTGCAGCTTTGAACCTGAAACACGTGAGGTTTGGACGTCACAGGAATTATTAGTTTTGTAAATTAATCAAATAAATTCTGTGTTTGGAGTAAATTTGGTTAAACTTTCCTCTGATTATTGCCTGATTATTGATCACAGCAGGGTCTCCACCCTGCACCTGTTTGGCTCTTCATCACTTTGGCTGTTTTAGTATAGATATAATAACAATAACATGCAGGTTTTGCATTAAATGTTTGGTTTTTCTTCTTATTAGCATTTAAACTATATTCTGCTTTTATACATGAGGAAAAACATCCATGTTGCAAATCTCTTGTTTTTATTTATTTCCAGACCTGAAAATAGAAATAAAGTTGTTTTGGACTGTAAAGGTTGCAGATCTCAGATTATCTGATGAATTATTATCTGAGCCGTAACTCATCACTGTTACAGTTTTCAATCTTAATCTGACAGAACTGATCTGTAATCTGTTATCTTTCAGATTACAGGCCTGCAGCCTCTGGACTTTATTGTCTTAATCACATCAGAAAACTTTAACTTTCTCTTGAAAAACAGATGTTTGATTTCAAACTTGGTTAAATAAAGTTATTATTGTTATGGAAGGACAAACTCAAAATCTGTGCAGGATAAAGCCCCAGAAAAATGAGAGTTCAGACCTGACCAACCGGGAACCAGCAGAACCAGTTTGCCTTCTGGTTTCCCTCCCACTGCAGAACAAAAGAGAGGAATGACTGAATCTGCATTCAGTATTCAACAATGCAAGGCGTTCTATTGTTCTGCATGTTTCTCAAACATGATCTGCTTTTCTGGAAGGTTATCTGACCCGATCAGCCGAGATCAGAAACCACTGATTCACCAAAACACAAACCTGTCAAACATCCGTCTGCAGTCAAACATGTTGCGTCTGTAATAAACATGTTTAAATATTTAGCCTCACTGGGATTTATGTTGTTTATTTTTCTGTAACTTAATGTAGAGTGACAAAAGTCTGGACTGCAAGATAAAATCTAACTACAGAACAAAGTCTTAATATTTTATTGAATGGTTATTGGCATAGAAGCACAATAAAAGCAGATTCACAGGAAAGAATGGCCTAGTCAAAGTCCAGTTGATGGGGAGGATGCTGATTCCTGCTCAGATTTGTCAGGCTGGGAAGCTGCAGATCAAACTTCCCCCTAGTCAGAGAGTCAAAGGTCATCCATGCTAGGCCTTTCCAACCAGCTTCATTCAGCACAACAGGAAGTGATGTCATTGTCAGAAACTCCAGGAAGAAGAAACTGAGAAACGTCTTCAAGTTCAGTTTTAGTTCAGTTTTAGTTCAGTTATAGTTCAGGTTTAGTTCAGGTTTAGTTCAGGTTTAGATCAGTTTTAGTTCAGGTTTAGTTCAGTTATAGTTCAGGATTAGTTCAGGTTTAGTTCAGTTATAGTTCAGTTTTAGTTCAGGTTTAGTTCATGTTTAGTTCAGTTTTAGTTCAGGTTTAGTTCAGGTTTAGTTCAGTTATAGTTCAGGATTAGTTCAGTTTTAGTTCAGTTTTAGTTCAGTTTTAGTTCAGGATTAGTTCAGGTTTAGTTCAGTTTTAGTTCAGTTTTAGTTCAGGTTTAGTTCAGTTTTAGTTCAGTTTTAGTTCAGGTTTAGTTCAGTTTTAGTTCA